GGTGAGGTGCACGCCGCCGCTCCTGCCGCCGTGCCCGGCGGGAAGCGCGTCCCTGTCCTCCCCGGAGCTGGTGCGGCCGGCCCTGGCGATGGAGTGGGTTGGTAACTCGGGTCCGTGGGATCGTAGCGAAAGGTTAATTAGGGCTTGCACGCAGTTAATTGCGCAGGGTGTAGGGTGTTTACGTGAGCGAGCGGTGCGGAGGTAAGGGAGGCAGGGTGCTGGCTCGCAGGACAGCGGCGGACACGATGTAAATGCGAAACAAGATACTGCTTAACGAAGGTGGGGAGAGCTGCTTTCCATCTTTTGCTGGAAATGAGTTTGTGCAGAGTTATTGGTGCACTTCAGAAAATAAAATATAGTAGACTGATAATTTGCTTGCCTACTGATTATTTTTTGGCAGCAAACATCCCCATTATCTTGGGTTTTGGAGTTCTGAATATTTAGAAAGTAGCATACTGCCTGCCACTTGTAACTCTGGGGTGGCCTCTTGCACTTTGAAGGAGCAACATGTTCTGCAGAACCTATTGCTTTGTAGTGAGCCTAGGCTCCGAAGCTCTTATAAATGTGAACAAAGCACATTTAAAAAAAAAAATATCACACGTAGATGATATGTGTTGACATTTGTTGTTCTCGAAAGGTTTTTTCCCATGCTTTTGTCTAGCATGAATGTTTTAATTCCTTGGCTACCAGACTTAATGTAGTACTGTATTGGGTTTTGTTCTTTCTGCTCAGGGATTGTGTCTTTGTTCTGATTTCTTTCATACTTTTACTTTTCGTGTTCTTTAGTTTTTTGATTTTTTTTTTTTGGAGGTTTTCAGTACATCTTGGTCAAGAGCAAAATTCTGTGTTTCTCCCAGTGGCATAGGTTAACATTTTTATCATGGGCTACAGGAATGTTATTGACAGCTTTGGGTAAAAAAGCTGTCTGACCTCTCCAGACAATATCACTTCAGACTACACACAGGCTGTTAAAAATGGTTGGGTTTTTTTTGGCAGTCAACCTTCAGGCAGCCCTTTTAACTTAACACCCTGTGTTTCTTTCGATAACGTTGAAGGATAACATGGCTGTGTTGCCAGGGACTTGCCTTATCATTTGCCTTAGGCTATTTCTCTAACACTGTGGGTTTGGGATTTTTGTTGAAGGTCAGACCGCTAATTTACACCCCAGGTAAGCATGCAATTTGAAAATGTCCCAGAAGCCCAAACTAAAATTTCTTTAACTTCTGAAAAAACAAAAAAAAGAAGTTCTTGGCATAAAAGTTCACTGCTAGCTCTTGTTAACATGGTTTGCTTCTGGCTATATTCTTGTTCTGATCTGATTTTGTTTAGCGGTTCCCTGTGAGTTGTGTACCTTACCTTTTCTCACTTGGTTTCAGAAATTTTTGCCATGGTTTTCAATGATTTCTTGCAAAAGCAAGTGGGATCTTTTGGATGTAACAATTTGAAACTAAATTAATTTTGACTCTGTTTAGTTTCAGCGTTGTTCACAAGAGCATTTTCTTGATGCTGGTGTCTCTGGTCCACAGAAATAGTATTTGATATAGCATTATATCTCTGTTGTAGACGTGGACTAGAAATAATTACATATGTTATTTCTTAAATCCATTCAAGAGGTTTAATGTTGTGTCTTCCCCTCTGTTGGCTAAGTGGTTGTTACAGACCAGTCATGACAAATTAAAAGGTGATTAAACAAGGTCAGCAATTTCTCATCTGCTCTTCTTTGGTGTGTTGACCTCAGCTGTCTGCTGGTTTCTAATAAAAATATCACAAGTCTGGAGTACAGTAAAGTTACATGGACTGTTTTTAAAACACTATTAATTGCTTCATAAATTGCATCTGTCGCTTGGCAGTGCTTGATTGCAAAAGGGTAGGTATAGTTTGTAGGATGACTATTAGAAGTGCCACTTACCACCTAAAGACAGGCTTTTGGAATGGTTGTGATAGAAGAGAACAGAAACTCTTCATTTCTGTGATAGTACATCTTCAGCTTAATGATGCTTTAGACCAGGCTTCCAAATTCACTGTGTGAATGGGCTTTGTAATTGCTGGTGCACGTAGCCTGATATCGACAACGTGTAAGTAGCACTGAATAAAACACACTCTGCAGATAGTGAAAAAATCACAAACCAACAACTTTTATTATACCTTGTGTAAATTATTATTTAAGTGGCTTGGGACTTAGATATTTCTGATTGCTGAAGAGTAAGGAATGTAAAGTATGTGTTAAAATGGAATATGCCTATGATATTTTGCTAAGAGACTATGTAGTAATAGGCCTAAATTGAGTGTAAAGCAACATGAGGTATTAACTTTTAGCACCAAATGTCTTACGGCTTCTCTAGAAATCTAAGAGCTGAAGTTTGTATATTTTCACGGTAGGGGTGATAGAAACCTAGGTTTATAAGTTAGGTTTATAAATCACTGAGTACTGGCAGGAACGACTTGTAGTGCCAAAGTGTCTGTGAGAGCCAGTAGTAGGCGAGTTGCTTGTGGAGCAAGCATCACTTCAAAGTAGCTGGGTGCTGTTGTGAGTCTGCTTCAGAACAGTCTTGGAGGCAATTTAATTCATTTCTGTGGTTATTAATGTGCTCATTCTGGCTCATGTAATCAGGTTGGAAATAGAGTTTAAACTATAAAAAAAAAAAAAATGCCACAATGTAGTTCTTGCATTGGTGAAAGCTAAATTGCTACGTCTGGTATTTGATTATGTGTCTGGAGGTAAATAGTAGTGGGCTTTTTTTCTCTTTCACCAGGTCACCCAGAAGACACAATGAGTGTGAAAGCTTTCAAGCTCGTTTCCGCTGTTGAGCGAGAGATGTTAATGGGAGACAAAAATTACATCAACATCGAATGCATTGAGTGTTGCGGAAAGAACCTCTATATTGGAACCAATGACTGCTTCATCTATCACTTTCTGTTGGATGAAAAGATATCAACAGCTGGAAAAATAACTTTTGCTGCCACCAAGCAACTGCATAAATACCTGGGCTTGAAGAAGCCCGTGAGCGAGTTGAAAGCAGCCTCTGCCCTCACCAGGCTTCTTGTGCTTTGCGACAACACGATAACACTAGTTAACATGATGAACTTGGAACCTGTCCCCACTGGTGCTAGAATCAAAGGAGCTGTGACGTTCGCATTAAATGAGAACCCTGTGAGCGGGGATCCTTTCTGTGTCGAAGTCTGCATTATCTCCGTCAAGCGGCGGACCATTCAAATGTTCATGGTGTTTGAAGACAGAGTCCAGATAGTGAAGGAAGTGTTTACTCCAGAGCAACCCTCTGCTGTGGCTGTGGATGGTTATTACTTATGTCTTGCACTTACTACACAGTATATAATTTTGAATTATAACACTGGTGTCTCCCAGGATCTGTTTCCTTACTGCAGTGACGAGAAACGGCCAATTGTGAAAAGGATAGGCAGACAGGAGTTTCTGTTGGCTGGTCCTGGAGGCCTAGGTGAGACAAGATTGTATTTTTTTGTAAGTTTTTTAACTCCTCTCTCAATTTTTTCTCAATTTGGAAGCAAAGCTTAACTAATTGTTGTGCATAACAATGATATTTTTCTCCACAGGGCTATACTGGAATGTTGAGATAAAGAGGTAGATGGTAAATTTTTGGTACTAAGAATTATTATAACTCTTCTGCGGTTTTTTTTAAGGCACAAAAATCGGGTTTTTCTGTATCTTCATCGTGTCTGTAGAAAGCTTCATTTCTGTATATACTGCTAACAGCAGTAGTATCTTGCAGCCCAGAGAAAAAACCTTGGTTGGTACCAAATGAAACTTTAGAGGCTGATAGCCTCTCTGGAGTGACTAGCCGAACTGGGTTTGAGGAGCCCCATGTCGTTATGAATATAAGTTAGTGTAGAGGAGTTCATTTTTTTCGCCAGTTGCTATTCAGAGGGGTGCAGATGAAGTTCATTTTAGAGTTTGTAATAGATTGGCAAGTAGGTATGTTGTGCTAGTAAGGCATGCTAGTGGAAGTAAACTGTATCCTAACTCCTGTAGAAGTAAACTCTGTCCTAATTGTAGATGTTGTCAGATACTACCCTGTTTTTATGCTCCCACATGCTGAATTTTTAATAGTATTTTTCAGCTCTGTAATACAGAAAATGATAGTTTAAGTGTTGCATCACGTGTAATAGTGCTCTTGCCTAATAGACAGATGATTGTAAGGACTACTGCTGCTGTAATTTGTCTAAATCAGCAGTATGCTCTGAGGTCAGTCATCTTGAGGGTTGTTTGGAAAAGCTGCAATATCCTGGAGCTGGCAGGCCATAGGCAGAATGCTTTTGTGCTGTTTGCCATATGACTCTCCATGTAGGAGAAGCAGTTTATGTATCCTACCTGACACATTAAGAATGACATGACACAAAGATCACAATTATTTAGGCCCTTAATTCAGGGGTCTGCATAGGTTTTGGCTCTTCAGTATGAATTCCAAAGAAAAGCATGAGTGCAATCAGTTGTTTGTGTTGAAGTTTTGTCTTGTGACTAGAATGTGAGGTGTACATCAACTCCCTAGTTTTTCTTGTTGGAAGTAGAGACTCACTAGAACATCACTTCATGCAAATTAAATATGTTCCAAGATGAACTTGTTTTTTCAGACATGAGGCTTTTGCAAGTCATCTCGGTTACCCACCACTTATGAAAACTGTTAGTTGCTTTAAATATGGACATATATTTGTGGACGTTGACCTTTTTAGTACTGCTATGAAGGTTAAAATATCTGAGTTGACTGACTGAAAGTGTTCCCTTTTGACATGTTTCTAAAGCAAACCCATTCTTTAATCTTTATTTACCTTTCCAGGAATGTCAAACCAGATTCTGTTCAACTGGTTAATTTCTTTTTGGTTTAAGAATAGATAAACTTTTAAAAGCATAATTGTATTTAGTTGGAAAGCTGAATTTTATTTAGTCCAACTTTTGCTTTTGTCTGGTGTCCTGCAAGAGGGCTATACAGTAAGACCTTTACTCATAAAATCCAACATCCTTGTGTAAGTAGATTGTCCTTAAAAATACCAAAGGGTGAAAATATCAGATATATGGTGTCTTAAACAAATGCACATCTGCAGCTCTTAATATGCTATAAACTTCCCTTTTTCTGGTAATACAGGCAAATATACCATGTACTAGCTCGGACACATTACAAAGATTGCTTGCTATAGGTGGGTATGGTTTTTCCTTGCCTATTTCAGCTTGGGGGTGTACTTAATCATTTGTTCTCCATTCCCTCCCCCACTATTGTTTTGGTTAGTATTATCCACCTTGCTGTTCTTCTTGGTAAAGTTCTCAGTGTCTTTAACGCCGTTCCCATGAAGGTGAAGGTGGTTGAGCACCCTTATAAGCATTGTATATCTTGGCATTTGAGGTAGGGCTCTGCTGGAAAGTGAATGGACTTGAAAAGGCTTGATGTACATCTTCAGTTCTAATTTTGGTTTGCTTTTGTACATCTTACTGGTTAAGACGTGTTCGTTTGGCACTTGGTAGAGCATCTGTGCTAAATTCAGCCTCTCTTACTGAGGTGGCTGTATTCTGTGTTAATACATTTGACTTTCGAGTGTTTGAAGTGACATTCACTTAGATTTATTTGCTTCTGAGCTGAGTGGAATTTAGAATGGCAGAAAGCAACTGCTTAAAGTGGTAATTATGAAGTAAAACATCTTTGAGTTTCTTGGGTATGTGACCTTTTTCCTTACCTGGACTCTTTTTCCATTTAAGACTGCTTGTTAGAATTGTTCATAGTTGGTCCTTACACTTAGCCATTTGGTACTTCATTAGCTCTACTTGCAGTTAGTATAATAGCTGGCTCTTTAGAAGGGAAAAGAAACTTAATTTTTGATGCATCTTCATTCTGTCCAGTAATTGGTTCATTCAGAATTGAAGATCAATTCTTTCTGATTATGTATGAAGCTGTGCTTACCAAAATTCTGTTTTTCATTCGTGAGGCTCTTGTTGCATGTTCGTAATGAGATTGCCATACAGAGGCTTTAGGCTGTTAAGATATCATCAAACAGCTCTTGCATATTGGCACAGGGCATGATTCCCAGCACCAGCTGCAGCAATCACCCAAAGCATCAGAGACCTCGCCTCAGATGGAGCTCCCAAGGGAGGGAACAGCTCTTAAGGCCTTGAGCTGAAGGGAGCACCTGGTGTCTCTTGCTGAGACGGAGGCAAGGGGAAACTTTGTCCTTGCCTGCAAGAGATGTGCGTTTGGTTGAGGATTTGTGTTGTCAAGTAAAGGAGAGGCCGGAGGAGGTCAGCAGAATACACGGCATCAGAGAAGACAGAAGGGAAATGGAATCTTCTTCAGGACCCAGGCATGAGCCTGAACCTCTGACCATCCTGAGGGAAGGGCAGGCTGAGTCTCTGCTTGTTCTGTGACGGCAAGGGCTGGAAATTTGTCACTTCTGAAAGAAAGAACTCTCCTTCTCTGCCTGCAGGTCTGCATCTATAGAATATGTTCAGTGCTCAGCAGTAGCAGATGAGAAGCAGGAAGCTCTGTCCCACAAAGCATCTGAGCCTGTACCACGCAGTAGCACCGGGAGGAATCAGTGGGTAATAGTAGTGGAAGACTCCCTCATATGGGAGATAGTTTTTCTCATCGATCCTGCTAGTGAGGAAGAACAGTTTGAGGAGGAGTGGGTGGATCAGGCAGGTCACCAACTGGTTGTACAGCTTCTGGTGACAAGGGATATGGCCTTTATGAATATGGAGCCTTCTTTAAGGATTTAAAGAAGAGATGGGATCCACTAGGCCAAGTGAGGCAGAAGGAGTTTTATGAGCAGGCTGACCAACCTAGTGAGGAGGATTTAAACTAGGAATGGTGGTGGTAGGCCAAGCTGGCAAACAAGGAGTGCAGGGTGATGTGGATGAGAGACTTTGTAATGAACCAAGAGGGGTAAAGAGACCCTGCTTTAGGCATAGGCAGACAAGAGGTGTGTACAAAACAATATGAAAGTGCTCTCACTTTCACAGCAGAGCTGTGTGTTGACAGCTGAGGTGAGCGGTTACCCTTTACATAAGAGCTGCAGGATGGTGTGATGTGCCTTGGGGCAAAGGAGGAGGTAGCTGAGAGTTTATGGATTAGGGTTAGAGGGCAGACTAACATGGGTGACATTTTGCTGGGTATCTGAAACAGACCACGTTACCAGGAAGAAGACGTAGGTAAGGCCTTCTTCAGATAACAGGAAGAAACCTACATTTGCAGGCCCTGGTTCTTGGGGGGCCCTTGGACCACTCCCAGTACCTGCCAGAGCAGCAGCACAGCAGGGCACAAGCCGTCCAGGAGACTTCTGGAGTGGATTGATGGTGACTGAGGAGCTGACGAGTAGGGGGTGGTGAGACACTGGAACAGGTTGCCCAGAGTTGGATGCCGCATCCCTGGAAGTGTTCAAGGCTAGGCTGGATGATGCTTTGAGCAGCCTGGTCTAGTTGAAAGTGTCCCGATGATTGTTAAGGTCCCTTCCAACCCCAGCCATTCTAGGATTCTACGATTCTAGTATGAAAAGTGCTGGCAGCAAGTTGAGAGGGGCAATTTTTCCCCTCAGTTCTAGTGAGATCATGTGTGGAGGACTGGGTCCAGGGGTCCCTGGAACGTCATGGATGTACTGGAGTAAATCCACTGAAGGACCAGAAAGACAACTGAATGATTGGAGCATCTCATATGTGGAGAGGCTGAGAGAGCTGGGACTGTTCAGTCTGAAGAAGAAAATTCTTAACAGAGATCTTACCAACATGAGGGGGCAGGGCAGGTAAAGAAGACAGAGCCGGGCTCTGCTCAGTCATATTGTGTCCAGTGGAAGGATGAGGCGGTTGGTACAAACTGAAATACAGGAAATCCTACATAAACAGGAAAACAAACTCCTCATTGTGATGTTGGTCAAACTATAAAACAGGTCTTGGAGAGGATGTGGCATCTCTGTTCTTAGAGGTGCTCAAAACCTGACTGGGTGAGGTTTTGAGCAGCTTGTTCTAATTGTCCCTGCTTTGAACAGGGAAGTTGGACTAGGCAGTTCTCGGGGGTCCCTTCCTGCTTCAACAATTCCACGACTTAAATGAGTAAAATACACACATTTTAAACACCTAATTTTACTGTATGCATCTTGGTTTTCCAGGATAAAGTCTTCTCAGTGGTGCGTGGTTTGAACAGTTATTTAGTGATTGAGTAGACTACAAATGGAGTTGGAGAGCCGAGCCTTGTAACTTACAACAAACATGCAGGTACTAGGCAGAATGATTCATAGAAAGTTATGCAGTGCCTTTTCTCATAGCTGACACTGCATGAAGCAGGGTAGTCAGCAGTAACCAGCGTGTTCCCTTCCTGCTTTCACCCACTCGCAGTGTTCCTCCTGCTGTCAACATTTATGGTAACTGAAAGTGTTCATATTGCTTTTTAAAGAAGTAATAATAATAAAAAAGAAGTTTTATTTTAACTTTTACAGATACTTTCACTAAGAAGGTTTTTGTTTTAAAACAAACAGAATCTGCAGTCTGTTGCGCAAAGTCCTGAATAACCTGATCTAAGCTGGTCCCACTTTGAGTATGGGAGAGGACTGGACTGGATGTCCTTCAGTACCCATTTCTGACTTAAATTGTTCCATGATTCTATAAATTTCTAGCTCTCATGGTGCCGAAAACAGTGTAGCTGTGTTTTGGGTAACTTGCAGCCTTTGGATAGCATATGCATTTTTAATACGGAATTGATTACTGGCTTCATCTCAGTTTCATCAACCGCATTCCTGTACTCTAAAAGGCCATGGTTCCTGATTGTAGTTGTCATGTTTATTGTTATCCTTAGGTGGGAGCTGGATGAAGACAGAAGATGCATCATTCTGCCACAGAAGCCCTAGCTATTGAGGGCAAAAGGATGTAGAGAGATATTGACTTGGAAAAGTACTGTGCATTGCTCTGCACTGCCCTTTCACTTCCATAAAGGATTTCTTAAAGTTACCTAAAAAAGAGCTCTGTCATTTAAAAGAAAAAAAAAAATTTTAAATCAGGTTTTTATAATTTTTTTTTGACAGTGACTGAGAAACAGAAAATCTGAAGAATTAAGGTTTCAAATACAATTAGCCCTGAATTTACTACTGGTTAGTATGTATTTAACTCAAGTTTTCTCCCATTTTTTGAAATGGGATTACAGCACAGAGTAAAAACTGAAAGGCATGAAAAGCAGATAGCGCGGTCTGCCTGTTGTAAAATTCCACTTCCGATCCATAAGAATATGAAAATCTGTAGAGGAAATCGGGATTCTGTATTATGGCAAAAAAGAGTATTTTCTCTAAGGCACTCTGCTTGAAAAGCCGTTCATTATAGTGAAAAAGCAAATACCATTACTTGTTGATAGCCAGATGTGACATTTTCATTCTGTGTTGCACCCTTAGTTAGGGGAAGGGGCTGATCGTTTCAGAGCTGCTATAAAGGGTCCAGAAGCTTAGTCTCTACACTGTAGTTCTGTGAAAATCTACAACCTTCTGGTTTCCCTTTTTTTCCCTTCTCCCCCAGGATGATCCTCCTACCCAGCTACCCTTATCTCGTTATCCTCTGTTTGGAAGGGATTTTTCTGTAAATTGACTAACATAATCTTTTAATCTCCTCTGTCCTTTAGAGCTCAGACTTACTCTGCCAGCTGTCAAGTGGCTCATTTCCGCCAAAGAACAATTTTCATGGGTGTGTCTTGTTAATAGCACGAGCATACTGGTTTTAGGGGGTATGCCTTCAGGTTTGGAACAGAAGTTTACACAGTGCTTCAGTATAGCTCAGCTGGCAAAGAGTTACTGAACTATGTCTCAAAACTTTGACTGGAGTTTTTCTTCAATTAAATCTCAGAGAATTTGGGAATACCACCTAACATAAATAGAACCAGTGGCATGTATTCCAAAAAGCAAGTTAAACTTCTGTTAGGAGAAGGAAGGAGGACGCAATAGACAGGAGGAAAGATAGTGGCAAAAAAACCCACAGACCTACCAAAGATTTAATCAGGTTATTTTGAAGACAGCATAGGGGATATCGTTGGGGTGTAAAAAAAGTCTTTGTGCTTGGGTCTTGGGAAAACTGCCTTATATGCAGCCTCTGCTTTTTATGGAAATGATTGGAAACATATGCCTCGCAGGAAGTCACTCATCCCAAGGAGCCGGACCCTCATTCTGTGAAAATTTTGGTCTAGCAGAAGTGAAGAAGTAAAACTAAATGATTGTCAACTAAAATGCTCTTTAGGCATTCGACGCTGCAAGGAACAGATACGCCTGTATTGCCAGATAGGTCGGACAGTGCAGGGCTGTGGCTCCTACCAAGGCAGTTTTGTTTGAATGCTGGGTCTCACTAAATATTAGTGTTCTGAAATGAATTCAAACTACATGGCATTGTTCTTATTTAAAAACAAAAATCTGAAACTTACTAAGCTTAAATAATTCTTGCTAGTTTCTGTGACTATTCCTCTCTTTTCAGTTTTTGGTGGTCTGTTTCTGTGGTGAAGAGGAAAGGGGAAAAAAACATTAACTGAGTTAACCAACAGCTCTGTGATGTCCAGGGAGGTGTGATATGCTGTCATCATGCCACCTGATACTCCATCTGTTCTTCTGAGACTTTATTTCTGTGCCTTGGTACCTGTGCTTTGTATTGGGAAAACAGCAGTCTTCAAGTAGCACGAGCCTCAGGCTTTTGTTTTTCCCCTTCCTGTAGGCATGTTTGCAACCGTGGATGGCATTTCGCAGCGTGCCCCTGTGCACTGGTCAGAGAACGTGATTGGAGCAGCTCTGTGCTTTCCTTCATTACAGTGCACAGCATGCTGGACCAGCAGCAGAAGCAAACACTGCCTTTTAAAGAAGGTCACATTCTACAGGACTTCGAAGGTATGAAAAAGGGCACTTTTCTCATCAGTAATTCTGGAACAACCGCCACTGTGGGCACAGTCACTTTAGGTTGTTTCTTAAACAAAATATCTAGCGAGCACGTTAACTGTTGAAACTTTTATTGCTAATGCTTTCCTGATCAGATTCCTGCAGACTATGGTAGAAAAACTTTAGTCATCCAAAATTCCATGCTTCTAACAAAATGTATGCTCACTAAATGTGCTCTAATTGTCAGGTTAATTGTTGGGTAGGAGACTGTCGGGTTAGAGGAGTCAATAATTGTTAGATACAGGTATTTGTCCATTGGCTATCCTGACAAAGTTCCAACATCTTAAAAATTGTTCTTTTGTACTCCTTTCTAGAATGTCTGAAGAGATTTAAAAAGGGATATTTCATAAAGAAGTCTTAAACAAAAAAATCTAAAAACTTGTTTTGATCTATCCTTCGGTTAGGAACTCTTAAGTATGGAATACATTGCGCTGCTATGTTTTTTTTTCCAGGACAGCTACAAACTCTAGCACTATGAACTGTATGTTACTTGCTACCTTTGATGTACAGCTTACAGTTTTCTAATGTAAGTCTGTGGAAGTATGTGGCAGTTAAAAGTCCCTATTCTCTGGAATCTGGGCAGTAGTTTCACTGGTGGTCTTTACATCATGTGAGATTATAGCCAGTTTCATTTACTCAGAGTGGAACAAAACTGCTGTGAATAAATTTATGGTTATCTCTGAGGTGCAATTTACAAGTAAACTATACTGTCCAGCAAAAATGGTAACAACAAGGATGAGTTTAGAACTTTAACACTGTTTAGATTCTTGCATCTTAAACAGTAAATCTTAAAGCTTATTTCTGAAGTGTGTTTTTTTTCTGTAGAGAATGTAAACTGAGTATGTCTATTTGCTCTGTCCAGGAAAGGTGATTGTTGCTACTAATAAGGGTGTGTATATCTTGGTGCCGCTACCTTTGGAAAAACAGATTCAGGATCTTCTAGCTAGCCACAGAGTGGAAGAAGCCCTTGTTCTAGCAAAAGGAGCTCGAAGGAATATTCCAAAAGAGAAATTTCAGGTCTGTCCTTCCTTTAATTTTCATGAAAATATAAATTTCACAGTGGTGCTGTGTGTACCAGTGATCAAGTGACTAGAGGAGGGGGGGAAATGTTTACATTGATGAGAAATCTTACTGCCCTTCATGGTTTCAGCCTGAGGAAATAGTTGTGCTGCTGAATTGGCTTGTGCTTGTAAAGGCTGTGATGTTGACAGGGTTGAATGCCGCTGTTTTGCTGGGGTTTTGGTGGTGGGTTTTTGAAGTGTATAATTTGAAAAAATTGAAAACAAAACAAAAAGACCCCAAGTGGTAGAAAATCTACTGCAATCCTTCTTTACTGCTAGGTTCAGTTATTATTTTGCTGTTTAAACTATTGCTGTTTAAAAAGAGTATCTTTTATTTCAAATCAGAATTTTTAGGTTTTACTTTATCAGAACTTCTCTGCATACCCTAAACTGCAGTTGTACAGCTTCAGGGACCTAAAGCAAATGTGTCCTTCCAAATTCATGCGAGTAGTACTCGTAGTGGTGTGTAACTGAATATTTAAGATTTTCATGTCGTGAAGTGTCCTAGTAACTCGCTGAATAGTGTTGATTAGAAATTTGTACTCTTTTCCTTCTACCTCTGGTTTATATTACAATACATATTCTACCATATTTGTTCCTATTTGTCATTTAGAGACTGAAATTTGGAAAAAGTAGTATGAAATCTCTACTCACCAAGTAGGTTTATGAATATTTCTCTTGGTTTCTTGTGATTTCCAAAAGCAAAATTTGATCTGTAACCTGCAGAAAATCTGGTTTTGTTATTTAAATATACTTTGGAGGATTTTGTTGCCATTAAAATAGTATCTGTTGCATTACTTTTGTTTAGGAAGATGTAAAGTTTGGAACATGACTGTAGAAGCTATGGAATTGTAGATCGAAGATGATTCAGTCTGTCGGAATTTTTTTTTTTTAAGTTTCTAATTCCTTGTCATTTAAGTCTTGGTCAAGGCCCTTGAAAAGCAATCATTAAATGAAAGGAAATTTGTATCAGCTTTCATTTTGATCTTGAACTCCTCCATTGAATTAAGAACTTGGGAGGCTGCTGGAAGTAAAAAGCTTGGCCAGAAAAGTGTATGCATCCTTTAAAAGTATATGCTAAGGTATAAGTGTCCTTGGGTACTCGAAGCTGAAAATCATTTAGGCAGATAGAGAGTTCTGTTTCCAGCATGTTTTGCTTTGCATCTTCACTTCCAACTTTTCCTTTGCAATCTGTTTAAAGACGCAGACTATAATCCTGCTGAGAGGACAGGATGCATGGTCTAATTGATGTCTTCTGTGTATGGTGACCCCTACTTCTCCAATTATGTCTTTCCAGTTTATGTAGATTTAGTGTGGGAGATGTTTTGCCACAGGATGAGCTGCAATTTGTTATCTAAAATATATGATGTAGGATGTCATTCCTCCTAAGTTTTTTTTGCATTTAGGATTTTCTGTCTGTAGGATAAGTTACTTGCTGTTTGCAGTATTTCACATGTGCCTTGCTGTCTTCCTAAAATTACTGTTGCCAAGGATGTTGTAAGTTCTAACCTCATGTGCCCTTAAAGCTGTTCAGTTACTTTGAGTCAATGCTACATCTGAAAAACAGAAAACATTTTACTTGCAAGCAAAATATCCTGTTCTATTTTGTATTTGCAAACTGATATTAACCAGCTTAATTTGATGGAGTCTCCCACTGACTTCTCTTAAAATGACTTAACTTGGCTTAGGTGTTGAGGCATTAGTCCCGTTTTTCAGAGCTGATCTGTAGTTGGAAATGTAACTTGTTGAGCTTGCTTTCTAATGTGATATTTAATCACATTAGTAGCTGATACTTAAAGCTGCTATTACAGGTTCCTTACAAACACATCAGACTTTCTTTTACTGTAGTCTTGCATAATATAAATGTCATGGAGTTCAAGTAGACTACATGCCTTACATATGTCTTTTGCAACATTCCTTTGGCATACTTTAACTGATCATAGTCACTCATTTCTAACTGCTGTCTGAGAGATATCTGGGTTATTATCAGGTAGTAGATACTAGATAGATAGATAATAGGTATCTCCTAATAGGTATTTTTGGATATCTGTTTTGCAGGATTTAGTGATTCCTGAGTAGCTAACACTTTCAAGGCCTTATTTTGCCATTTTATACGAGTAATGGGAAGGGATGCATCAGTTTGGTGATCAGCCACTATAATTTATCCATACAGAAAAGTGATAGTAATTGGCATATGTAGCATAGTGCCCCCTTTTCCACATGCTGCTTTAATTTCTGCCTTTTCGGTGGCTGTTGCCGTCTTACACCTGACTTGAACTCAGTCGTGGTGTTGCAGGGCAGTTCTTAATGACATGGGGTTATTTTCTGCAGTTCAGTACTGCATTGTCACTGTATGCATACAGATGCATGTTCCCACTTTTTATATCAGCAGTATTACGTCACCATAACTATATATATGTGCTGGTAGGGCAGAATGATAGTGGGATTGAAACAGTGAAGTACTGTACTCTCAGAACCATTTGTACAGCCAATATTTAGTTATTGGAAAGAAGCAGGTCATGCCTTAGTAGCTCTAACCTGTTATTTAACATGTGGTCCCTGCAGACTGCAAGTTTCTCTCTGCTGTATTAGATGAAAATTCCTTTGTCTATGAGGACTGAGAATTGCTGCTAGGTAAAAAATGAGAAGCACAAGTGTTGCAAGGAGATGGCTTTGTTGGATATCACTTTTGGTAGAAGAATACAAAGGCCTTTCTACCATGCTACCATGAAATGACTGAATACTACTTATTAATTTTTCAGGACAGCTGATGTTTGCAGAAATCATGGTTGATGGTAGTGAAGACCTTGGTTAGATTGACACACATCTTGCATAGGTATCTCTTTTGGTTTTTTTTTTTTTTTTTTCCTCACAGAATCAAAAAATGGTTGGGGCCGGAAAGGACCTTAAAGCCCATCTAGTTCCAACCCCCTGCTGTGGGCAGGGACCCCTTCCACTAGACCAGGTTGCTCAAAGCCTCATCCAGCCTGGCCTTGAAGACATCCAGGGATGGGGCATCCACAGCTTCTCTGGGCAACCTGTTCCAGTGCTTTACCACCCTCTCCGTGAAGAACTTCTTCCTTATATCCAATCTAACCCTCCCCACTTTCAATTTAAACCCGTTCCCCCTTGTCCTGTCACTACAGGCCCTTCTAAAAAGTCCCCCCCAGCTTCCTTGTAGGCCCCTTCATCTACTGGAAGGTGCTATAAGGTCTCCCTGGAGCCTTCTCTTCTCCAGGCTGAACAAGCCCAACTATCTCAGCCTGTCCCCATAGCAGAGGTGCTCCACCCCTCTGAGCATCTTCGTGGCCTCCTCTGGACTCGCATCAACTGGTCGACATATTCCGATGTTGTGGGTTCCACAGCT